CTGTAGCTGAGTCAAAAAATAAAATGTGTAACATTCATTGTATGTATCAATATCATTCTAGAACCATAATGTAAATGCATTCATGGTTCCAGAAGCAAGAAGCAAGAAACTGGAAGACAATTTATAACCTGCACTGTTTCTCTTTTGGAAATATTTACTATAAATTCCTAATATTAAGAATAAAATTTATCCTTTTTAACAAAATTTTTGTATTATTGTTTCAAGAACAAATCTCTTAGAGGTAAACATCACCTCTGAGTTTATATTATGCTTTAATGTTTTAGGAGGGCCAATCATATACACCAAGAAATATATAAGATGTAAAAAAGATATGAGACTCTTTGAAAATAATTTTAGAAGAGGCTGAAAATAATTTAAGCAATGAAAAATAGTTTTATCTTTCATACGTAGGTTTTTATTAGAATTCTCTTTCAAGTAATTCAATCTAGGTTTAACCTAAGGTTGTTTAGAGATTCCTGATTGTGTGATTGTGTTTGAGCTTGATAGACAAGAGAGATTTTTTTCAATCTGAGGACTTAATGTATCTCTCTCCATGAAAAAAAAAATACGTGTGCGCGCGCGCACACACACACACACTCTCTCTCTCTCTCTCTCTCTCTCTCATACTCTCACACATCAGTAGCAAAGGAAGAAAGGAAGACAGGCTGAAAACTTCCACCACAGATTAATGAACCACATAAATATTGCAATATTTTGATGAACTACCATTTGCACATATACAGAACTTTTTCCCCCAGGATTGTAATGAGGGTCATAGTACATTCAGAAGCCGTTGCTCATTTTGGTGGCTCTGTAAAGTTAAGTAACAAATTCGGATCATGTTTAGAGGAAGAATACATATTATCCTTTTGTTAAACCAGTGATTTTGTTTTCTGTGAGAAGTGCTCAATTACTTATATCTCTTCCATGTTATATATAGGAGATATATATATATATGTATAGTTCATGCTATTGTTACTATTATCTAGAATCATTTAAAAATTATCTGGATTAGTAAAATAAAACTTAAGTTACTAACACCTGTAAGCATTTGATCAGAAGTGTATGCAATCCATATCCTATAGGCATCAAATGTACACTCCTCTCTTCAGAGGTTGCTTAACAAAAAAAAAAAAGAGTCAAATGTAATTGGCTGACATCTTTTCCCAGAAAGCAGAAGGAAACCTCTCAACCTTTCTTTCTAGAGGTGTAGATTGGAGGGAAGTTGCTTACGCTTACTTCATCGTCCTAGTCACCTCTGGGAGTGCCTGCTTCAGCTGAATTACCTCACTTTACAAATTATCTTATATTCCAGGGTATACTTTCCTCTTCCACAAGGGCAGAGTTTCTTTTCTTTTGCTTTGCTTTGTTTTGTTTTTTGGTCCGTTTGGTTCATTAAGATAATCTGAGTACCTAAAACACTTAGGCTGCATGAAGCTTAAAGTGGATATATTTCTATCAAGTCAATATAAGCCAAAAGATAGAAGAGGGACTTGGCAGGAAGTGGAGAGGGGACAGAGAAGAAATGAAAGAAGCAAACTTCATTATCACCTAAAGAATCAACCTGTGGGCAGTTACTACTGCTAAAAAGGATGCTTCCTGCCACTTGTGAAATACTTCAGATAACTTTAGAAGCTACCAGATCTCACTAAAATGCACAAGTTATTTGCGTTTCTTTGTAGTTTATAGTTTAAAGACACTCTTTACATAGGGGTAGGCCATTTGAAAAAATGGAATGACACAAATAACGTGGAACATCTGGTCATTTTAAGAAATTGGAATAGAAAATATATTTTGGTTACTATTTTCTTTTCCTTTATTCAGTCATGATTGAGACTGAGAATTACTCAAGATTGTTCTTTATTGAAAATTAACTGTATTTATTGTAATTACTGTTCAGTCCTTTTGAAAGAGCCCTGTATTCCATTACAAAGAACCCAGAAGTACAATGCAAAACAAATGCAGAATCTGGATTTTACTTCTTTATCCGTAATTAAAGGCTTCATTTAAGATATTGAAGACATCAATTCTTTGTTCACAACAGCCTTCCCCCCACCCCAAACGAAAACTGTTATCTTTACCTTCGAGAGTCTGTTTGGTTCCTTCACTTACACGTTCTTTTTCACCCTCTTTCAGGGTTCCAAGAAAAACCTCAATGATGTAGAAAACCACTGCTGCCTCGAAGGCAGGTTTAAATGTGGTCGTATTTCACCATATTCTGGGTAGCTGGTCAACAAACCACACATGCCAAACAAGGAAGTAAAACCAGCTGAAGGGCTCTCAGCCACCTTCCCAATGTGCAAAAGTTAAAGGTTAGGGGGAGTGGGGGCGGGGAAAGTGTATTAACAAGGGGTAAACAGCTTGCTGGACACAAAGTATCCTGTGTTTATGAATGTGCAGGCTCATATCTTTTTAGTTTGTTTTATTTTTGGATTGAAGCCTTGTTCTGAACTCTCTGTGCATTTTAATATCATTTGGGCAACTTTTAAACAATATCAATGCCTGGACCTCATCCCCCAAAATACTGATTTAATTGGTTTGGGGTGGGGAAGGGCATGAGTATTTTTAAAAGCTTCCTGGATGAATCTCATGTCCATGCTAGGGGTGGGAAGTATGGGGGCAGGTTTGGATTAGAGGTTGTTAGAATATTCAAGGTATTTAGAGTATATGATATAAGGCATAAATCCAATGTAGGGAGTAGAAATATAATTTGTTTGTGATTTTACAAGAATTGTGAAGGTTCACTGAACTGAATTCTTTTAAATTAAAGTGATTGTTATATGATGAGGAATAGAATATTCACCATATTAAATTACTTTTTTTTTTTTTGAGACAGATTCTCCCTTTATGTCCAGGGATGGAGTGCAGTGGCATCATCATAGCTCACTGCAACCTCAAACTCCTGGGTTTAAGTGATCCTCCTGCCTCAGCCTCCTGAGTGGCTGCAACTACAAGTACACACCACCACACCCAGCTCATTTTTCTGGTTTTGTTTTTTTTTTTGTAGAAACAGAGTCTTGCTCTTGCTCAGGCTGGTCTGGAACTCCTAGCCTCAAGCGGTCCTTCCACCTCAGCCTCCCAAAGTGCTAGGATTACAGGCATGAGCCACTGCGCTTGGCCTTGAATTACTCATTGAAGAGAAAATTTTATAATTGGATCAACAAAATACTATACTACAGACCAACTGTTTAGGCATTGCAATTTGCATTGATGTATTCTCACTGCAAAATATTTCCAGCTTATTCAATCTATTTCATTTAATTATAGTTAGAATTTTTTGTTGTTTTATAATAGCCCTTTTCTAATTGGTCCATGTGCATTTCAAAATCTAAAACTCAAATATAAAACCCACTCATCAAAGTAAATAGGACTAATTTAAAAAAATGAAATAAAAATAAAGTTCTCATTATGGCCAGACCAATGCTGGGTTCAGAATCTGAGTGTACAAGGGCCTGTAATAATGTGAAGGCAGACTTCAAAGACAATGTGAGAGAAAATCCATTTTATTGAGTGCTACTCTGCACCAAGTACCATACA